ATTAGTAGTAGTAGTAGTAGTAGTAGTAGTAGTAGTAGCAGCAGTAGCAGTAGCAGTTGCAGTAGTAGTAGTAGTAGTCGTAGTAGTAGTAGTAGTAGTAGTAGTAGTAGTAGTAGTAGTAGTAATAGGAGGAGGAGGAGGAGAGGTAATAGTAGTAGTAGTAGTAGTAGGAGGAGGAGGAGGAGAGGTAATGGTAGTAGTAGTAGTAGTAGTAGTAGTAGGAGTAGTAGTAGTAGAAGCAGTAAAAGCAGTAGAAGCAGTAGAAGCAGTAGAAGCAGTAGAAGCAGAAGCAGAAGCAGAAGCAGAAAATGGCTGAGACGAATTCAGAGTACCAGTGCAGTGAGAGCTCATGTGAGCGTAGCTAAGAGTTAACGTTAAGCTAGTCAGAGAAAGCCAAAGAGTCGAAGTAGGAGCAAGAGTAGCAGGGTTGGCAAAGGGCTTAACGATCTTACGAGAGCAGCATCCTAAACCCTAAACCCAAGGCCTGAGGTGGGGGACACCACTCGGTCCGCCAATCACGATGTACAGAAGGAGCCAGTTGCGCCCCAGAATTGGGGGAAGCTGTGGCCGAGTCGTGCATACATTCATGAGTACTGTAGGGAAAATCCCAGCATTGCAAGCACCCCATGAAGTCCCGATTCTGCATATTAGTTCTCGTGATGGCCCACCACATGTTGAAAGATTATGGTTGGCAGGCCGAGCCAAAAATGAACCGGATAGCGACAGAACAGGCTCATTTCGTAAGTGTAAGTTGTCAGAGACAGCCGTCGCAGGAGCTCGACAACCCCCAGCCCCCCCAGCTGAACAAACTCCAGGCCTTTGGCGTATTCCCTCCGCTGCACAGTGCACTTGGCGCATGGGCAGGGAACATGCATAAGTTTCTGTACAGGCAAGCTTCAAAAAAGAGATATACATGTTGCTCATCCACCGGGGTGAGATCGAAACGGTCAAGCGTTTCCAGTCTCTTCCAGGTTGAGGTGCGATGATGAGGATCATGTTTGGAGTTCAATCAACTCGTAAGTTGTAGAATTAATTAAGCATTGTGTCTCACGCCGGATTCATGTTTTGCCAATGCCGCCAGACCCGAAGAGCGTCCATCTGGACAAATCTCGAACGTATAGCCTCAAGTACGAAACCCGAATCATCAACAGGCACACACACACACACACTTCGGGCTTCGAGTTCTCATGACACTGTATGCATTCCCGCAAGTGTTTGGTTTGGCTCCGTTACCCTCGGCACTCACTGACTCGAAAGGCCGGGACGCAGGGCAAATTGTCATCACATAAAACGCCCAATCTTCTAGAGTCCTGATGATGTGGTGTCCATGGGGGCCTTAGTGATGCCAGGCCAGATAAGCACAATCTGCCATTCCCCAATTCGTAACCTTCACAGTTTGCTTGGCCATGGGCTTTGAATGAGGCTTCGGGTCTCCGGCTGCTCGAGATTGCGAGGTTAACCCTAAGGGTCCATGTACCCAAGTAGTAGAACATAAGCCCTAAAGTACCCAAATAGGGACTACATTAAGGCTAATGTTCTACTATTTGGGTACATGGACCCTTAGGTTCTTACTCCTGCAGACACTAACCAAGGTCAGTCCGAGCCGCGAGTCATTGCACTTTCGTCTGTGCGACACCATAGTTAAACTCTGAGTCAAGCTAAACTCGATGCAGGCTCACACGCTTGAGCTATGGCACAGATGTACGTGGTGAAGCGTGATGGACAGAAGCAGGCATGGGCAGAGGGTTGGCATTTATATCCTTCTCATCTTGGTGAAGTATTCGTTCTCTCAAAAACTCCCAAATCTACATTCATCGTTGGAAAGTGGGAAATGTGATTGTCATTGTGCCTAAGAGTTGTTGCCCTGTTTGGGGTGGGCAGAGGGCTTTGAGGGGGACAGAGAGAGCAGAGAAAGGGAATAGAGAGAAAGAGACTGAGAGAGATGCCGACAGAGAGAGTCTGCGTGGTCTGCGTGGTTGCGCGGCTCCACCATCTGATTTTCTTTGCTCAGAAGCAGCGATATGCGAAAGTATGCACAAGAGCACAGGCACACACGACAAGTTGTGATCCATTTGCCAACCCTCCGCAGTTGGCAGGAGGTGAAGTTTGATGCAATCACGCGGCGCATCCGACGGCTTACTGATGGCCTGGACACACGCTTTGTCGACCCGGTTGTTGTCACGAGGAAGGTGGTAGAAGGCTTCTACAGCGGGATTTCCACTTCCGAAGTGGACGTCTTGGCTGCCGAGACCTGCGCGTGCCTGGGATTCCGTTTGTATTTTTGTTCATGGTGGCTGTTCCACGTTTGTTCGCTGCTTCGGGCCGCTTGTAAACAAACTCATGGGCACTTTCCGGAAGTCTGATAATGTCATGGGTTACCCGTCGCAGCCATTGAGCCACCCCAACAGCCTGCAGTGCAGATCCAAGGTACATGTCTCAGAAGCATCCTGACTTCTCTGTACTGGCAGCTCGCATCGCTGTGTCGAACCTTCACAAGAACACGTCGGAGTCCTTCTATGACTCTGGGCTTTGAATTGTTTGGTGTTTTCAGCAGTTGCTTAGGGTTTCGGGTTTGTTTCATATCTCGAGTGCATAAAGTAGGAGGTAAGCCCTCAAGCACGAAGCCCTGGTTCACAACCTGATCCTTTCTTAAACCCTAACGGCCAAAACACACAGCCCACATCATAAAATCCCAAAACGAAATCTGAAGAGCCCGAAGCAACGAGATCCTCTCAGAGGAGACCTGCCGCCTCCTCCATGGCTACGTCGATCCTCAAGGGCGATCAGCCTCGCTGATTTCACAGGAGGTTTGGGAGTTCATTGAGGCCGACATGGGGGTTTCTGAAGCTTGTCGGCTCCTCATGCGAATTCTACAATTTCGGATGTATGCGGTAGGGCCATGGAGTGTGCTTCATATCTGTATAGACAGGCAGCAGTGAATCATGTTTGCTGTAACGTTCCTCTTCTTATCACTAACACAAGCTCTGCTGTTACTGCCACTACTACTACCACCACTACCTCGGCTGGTGGACCAAAGCCTGTTCAGTAAGATTTCCGGAGTCAGACCACAAAACAGCACCAATATCCTTTGCATCTTACACGGCAGATCGCAGCATCCTGATAAGCGGGTGGCTTTGTAGGAGTTGGGGAGGGCCCACGGGATCGGCACTTTAGGGTTTAGTGCGTTTAGGCTTCTGTTTAAGGGTCACAGACGAGGACACTGCTACCTTCGCCGTGCAGTGAAACTGAAACCCTATCGCCTAATCCCTAGACCCTTAAGCCCAATCAAAGCGCTAAACAATCCCCCTTGTGTCAGTCCGTGAGGCCAACGCGCAGCGCTTAGATGAGGGCATTGACTACAGCCGTGAGACTTTGCTGCCATAGGGTGCTTTGGTACGCTGTACCTCTAAACCCTAAGCTTAAAACGCTACAGTCTACGTCCTTTCTCGGTTGCAAGGCCCTTGGCTCAGTTTTCAGGACCTGGGTGTAGGATGGTGTAGGTGCCTTTGACGGCTGGTTCGGCTTTCGACGATTGGAGCTTTCGGACATAGGGTTTTAGGTTTCGGGGCTTCGCGAATTTGGTTTTGGCAATCTCCTTCACAGCGGTTCGCTCGATAGTTTCTGCTTGTTGACTTCATTCAGGATTTGGGCTACGACTACTTTGGCTTCAAGACGTTGGAGAAGTCTTACTTGCTAAAGGTGAACGGCATCTTGGCATACAGATGCATTTCAGATTTTCCATTTTAGGCTAGAATGCATTCAATCATCCTCTAGATCATCCTGTGCACACCACTTGAACACCAGAGCTGTGATGGGATCTCCAGGTATAATTGTCGAGCGGCCGCAGCACCTGCTCATGCGTGCAGCCTGCGGCATCCACGCGGGTGACCTGGAGGCTGTGTTGGAGACCTACGACCTCATGTCCAGGAAGTACTTCACGCATGCCAGCCCGACCCTCTTCAATGCGGGCACGCCGAACCCGCAGATGTCTTCCTGCTTCCTCTTGAAGATGCAGGAGGACAGCATCGACGGCATCTATGACACATTGAGACTTCGCCTGGTGTTCTGCGTATTAGATGAAGAACTCCAAATCCAGGGCTCAAGCCCCTGCACCTTCAAGATTGTGCTCTTGTTAGTACTATTGTTGTCAGTACTGTTGTCATGAATCTAACGGATACCTATACATATACGTATTAATACATATACATATGTACACACATATACAGACATAAATACATGCATACATACATGCATACATGCATACCTGCATACACGCATACATGCATACAGACAGACAGACGGACACAGAGACAGACAGACAGACAGACCGACAGACAGATTGCCAGACAGACATACAGACATACAGACATACAGACATACAGACATACAGACATACAGACATACATACATACGTACATACATACATACGTACATACATGTACATACATACATACATACATACATACATACATGCATACATACATATACATCTATGCATACATACATACATACATACGTACATACGTACATACGTACATACATGTACATACATACATACATACATAC